ACAATAAGATTGTTCTTTATGAACAGGTCAAATGTCAGAGAATTGTTGAGCTGGAGCTGTCAAGCAAACCCATCTATAAACTCTCTCTCAATCTTCAATTTTTCCATCACATCCTTCAAGATTAAATTTACCATCTTGAGAGCCAACGACATCTCTAAGTGATCAAGTATCTTTGCCTCAGCCGTCTGCATGACTTTTGCAATCATCACTTGTTTTTTCGTTGAATTTGCTCCAGTGCATTGAAGGTTTTGGCCTTAATTTTCCCTTGGCGTAATTGAGGGTCATCGACTGATTATGTGAGGTCTTCTAAGCCATCAGAAATGTGAGGCCTTCTAAGCCATCAGAAAAAATGGTCAGCTAGCTTATAAAGCATCAAAAGTTCAAACCTCCTCAAGTACTTCCCAAAGATGTGGGACAAGACGACCTCAGCAATGACTGAAAGGTAGCACGCTACCATGGGAGAATTGGAATGTCAGTTTATCCTATTTTCAATCATTATGTATCTCTTGTCAGGGCTAGTCCACCCCTTTTCCTCCTTGTCTCGTGAAGGAACCCACAAAAGTGGGGAATTTTTATGCTTCTTAAGGGAAGGAGGAGGCGGTGGGACGCTAAGATCAACAGTGGGGGCCTTCCCCTCACTGTGGAACACCTCTTCTTCATGAGATGTTAGCCCATGCTTATTATCGATCTCATAACTAATCTCAAGGAGATGGTCCGCTAGCCTCGGCCCTTGTTTGTAAGTCGGTGATGAATGGCTTGGTCGGTCGGGGGGGTAGTTAATCAAATCTCTGTTCTCTCAATTAAGGCCTCTCCCTCCCTCCCTCTCTCTCTCTCTCTCTCTCTCTCTCTCTCTCTCTCTCTCTCTCTCTCTCTCTCTCTCTCTCTCTCTCTCTCTCTCTCTCTCTCTCTCTCTCTCTCTCTCTCTCTCTCTCTCTTGACACTTTCTGATGCTATCTTATTTGGCATCCTAACATTTTCTTCACAGCATGCTCCAGAAGTGTCGGGACTTTAAAGAGAATAATTTAGTTTCCATCTCAACAATACTTAATTCACTGGTGGAAACATTCTGAAAAATAAGAGTTATTAGGGATATAGAACCAAAAAAAATCCACACCTTTGGCAGCAACCTCGACATAAACGACCCCCGATGACAGTCAACCGGTCACTGTCATAGCTTTGCAGAGGGCAGCCTTCCCTCATGGTTTCTTCTCAACGACAAGCAACAACTTTCTCTCTTACAACTCTCTAGGCATCTGAGGCCCCTTACAAATCCTTTGTCATTGACCAAAACTTCTCTGACCACAGCATTTGGCAGTAGCAAGCCATATTTGAACTGGTATGGATAGAAAAAAAAGGTCCTCCCCAAAATTTTTTGTCACTAGATCAAAACATTCAATGACTTTGAGCTATACGGTCAGATTGTAAACGCAAGTTTCCTAAATAAGCTCAATTTAATCCGATGTCATTATTGATATCTCGACCTCCAACATCGAACCAAAGAGCATTGTAGAGAACTTGGAAGTCATTGGAAATAAACGGAGAGATGGAGCTTGGAAAGAAAAGGAAAGCCAGAGAAAAAAGATGGAACAATCCCACGAGAGAAAAACTCGTCACCCCGATTTATAGGAAGATGAATTGCCATAGAGGTAGAGGCATCATTAGCCTTTCTCAAAATCCTACAAATAGAAAATTCACATTCATACACGATTTGGGATAAAAAAATTTAATTTTATTTCATAAGCTAAAACTTACAAGAACAGCTCAGAAGCTACTCTGAGGTGAAATATTTTACAACGATATCACTTGCCGCTTCAGCTGAGACATATCCTACTGAAGTAGCCTCTTATAAAACCTCACCCTCTACCTTAAAATAGTCAACTAAACCTATCTCTTTCTGGACCCAAAACTTGAAAAATGCCTCTCAAATGGCCAGTAACTATGCGTAAAGTGTGGTCGTATCCTTGCAAAGGGCGGACATTTCTTTAAGGAGGGTGGCCAACTCTCCTTCCATTTGATCCTCCTTCTCAACGCAGGTTAGTAACCTGCACATCTCCTCAGCTAGAGGAAGCCCTGTCGCCTGGGTGAATGAATCATCCATCAAATGCAAACAATGCACTAACTATCCAGGAGAGAACAGACATCCATCGATTGCTTCCCATTGGACCTAGCTAGGACCACCCAGATAGCTGGTCCATTTGTTCTAGTCTAGGATTTGACCACTTCTAGCCAGTCTTTCGTCTACAACTGTTGGTAATCAAGGTTCGCTAAAAGAGAACCAACAATCATAATCTCCGTAATAGGGTGGGCTGCACCATAGGTCACAATTAAGAAAAATAATTTCAAAGAAGAATAAAAACTAGATAAGCAAAACTAAAACTTCTCATGCAAAATATTCAATCCCACTACGACGTTGAAAATGACGTTTCGCCAACAATGGTTGTTCGCTTGCACCCCAGTTGGTGATAAGCCATCAATAGATCCTTGTGACATGATTGATGCCATAGTGCTAACAACTCCCCATGGGACCTGATCGACATGCAGGTTTTGAGTCTCGGTAGGAGGCGGGACCAACTGCTTGGCAGGTGGATCGCCTGATCAACCCCTAACCTCCGCTCGAGCTTCTTCCCGCTAATGATCGCAGAGCAATGCAAATAATCCCATGGATTAGGCGTTTTCCTCTTTTTTGCAGGAACATTCTTCCTCTTCTCACCCTCTGGTCAAGACTTCCTTCATCTCACTGAAGAACTTGAGGTACGTTGCTCTATCATAGAATTTGAATCATGAAACCGCTCCATTCACCATAGTGGCATTTGGACTTTAGTCAACCCTGGAAGGGAAGAAAAGGGAGAAGATAGAGGAGATTAGTCCCTCGTGCCTTAATTATAGAAATATAAGGCACAAAAATCAAGAGAGTTTATTTATTGAACCATTGATTTTTCATAAATAAAATTTACTTTTTTATTAAATTTTCTGTTTTTTATCACATCATGACTTCCAATAAACAAGAAAATCAAGGAACTACATATGATTACACAAAAATTGCCAGCACAATTCTCAAGAAGACCTGATGGTACATACAGGATAAGGCATATCAAGGAAGGGCCCACTGATAAGAGAACCTTAAGGACTAGTTCTCCAATAGGAGGTCGTATCAACGCCAAAGCCAACCAAGGAAATCAACTGGCTCAAACTTGAGCGGTTTGACTCGAAGCGAAGTGCAGGAGTATCCAAGCCATTACCCACGATGAAAACAAATCACAGGAGAAGCTAACCCCTCAGGTCTTGCAGTTCTATTGAAGACACCTAGCAATCTCCTTGAACATCATCAAGAATCAGAAGGGCAAATCTCAGTCATCCATCGGGATCACTTCGTCTAAAGGTATCAGATTATGGTGATTTGTCTTTTGCCAGATAGCATAGGTTTGACTTTTTGATGAGAGTTCCTCATCAGAGATCAAGGAGTAACGGACAACCCCGATTAATTGATCAATAATGTTTGCCAACCCCTTGTCAACAGCAGATAGGTCAACAGGTAACACCCATCTAACATGGTCGACTGACAACACCCATTGAACCTGGTCGACCGGCTACGTCTAACAATGTCTCATTATCCTAGCTGACTGACAACACCTATCAAGGTCTTGTCTGTCCAGCCAGTCGAGCCAAAGAGTAATGAAGCTCTGGGTCCATATACATTAAAAAACCTAGAATAACCTATATGCGCCCAACAAAAGCAAGGGCAAAAATGTAACTTCACATTTATATCACTCTTCTCTACAAATTGGCAATCATTCGATGAATAATTGATTACTCTTCCTTATTGTGCATTTCAGTCTTTTTCTCTCTTTCTCTCTTTCCTGTCTTACGCTGTATTTTTTTAAGTTTGATTCAGAGCATATGCAATTATATAAAAGCAAATCTATTTATTATAATAAATTTAATTCATCATATTTTTTGACATTTTAATTCATAAGAACAATGATAAAAATCCATAAAAATTAAAAAACATAACTTTCTGAGAGCTTCAGTTTAGAAATTCCCCTAAATGAAACCCTAGGTGACAATAAACAGAACATAGTTGGATAATAAACAACAAAAAACAAATTTAACGCTGAAGTTCAAATCTATAACTCAAATATCTGTACAAATTCTTTTCGAGGAGAGTCTTCGAAACGCTAAAATAATCGCTTGGCTGCTATTGGAGATGCCGGAGAAAGATGCAATGGCGAAAAAGCTGTTGCAGAAAGAAGAAAATGTAAAGCTCAAAACCCAATTTTTCTACAGCCAATTCCGATATCATCCTTTGTAAACAAAATGCAAGCTGAAATCGCAAATTGGAATACCACCCAAATCTTATATATTAACTTATCTAAAACTCAAACTAAATTTTACATTTATACCACCCAAAATTTTCACATCACACAAAAATTATCACCATTTAAATTTCTAAAAAGTAAAATACACTTTTTCCTAAATAGTTAAGGCAGAATGCATGTAAAAATTGAAATTTAGAACTTATATAGGTAAATAAACAAGAATTGAGTGGTATGTATGTAAATCTTCCAAACATGTAAAACAATTCTTACTAGAATTCAAACTAGAACAAGATACCAAACAGCCGAAGGCAAGATCAAGCTAAGGTTAAACAACATCCTACTCCATTTATTCCAAATAAAACTCCTTACATAATCCCATAATTGAGCAAAGACAAACAAACCATCATCCTCCTCCTCAAACTAATCAAATATCAAATCCCAAAAAAGTCGATCTTTTTCTTCCTCCCCTGTTCTCTTATCCCAACCAAGATCAGTCCTCGTAGGTTCGGCACTCTTTGACCTCAGGATTATCCTCACAGTAGTTCTCGAGCGGATCCGACTTGCTCTTAGCTCGGTCGCGTGCGTGGCTGGCGGCGGCGCTGAGCTCCTCCACCTCGTCCCAAGCCGCCGCGCACTCCCCGCTCTTAGGGTCCCCTTCGCAAGCTTCCTCGGCCTTCTTTATGCTCTCCGAAACCTTCTCCGACAGACCTCCCGGGTTCGTCGGCGCGCTGTAAATTGCCATCAGTCTGATTGTCTGCTTCGAGATGCGGTTCCAGTTGGGAGAAAGCAGGCTCCTTTGGATGACCGGAGGGAAGGCGGTGGCAGGGGAGGTTTTGGCGCCGGTGCAGGAGGCGGAGGAAGGAAGGTGGATACTGGATAGAGGTGTAGCCATGGATGAGGGTTTGGGGGAAGGGATAGAGGCTGCGTTGTGAGGCAGCGAGAGATAATGGTGGGGATGAGGACAAAAGCTCTTCGGAAGAGGAGATGGGATTTTTTTCTCGACTCCTGGGAGGGGCTTTTGGATCAGGTGTTGTTGAGCTTGCCGTTCAATTTGGGACGCACACTTCTTATCCTGTTACTAGGCCAAGGACATATTTATTTTTATTATTACTTTATTTTCGAAAACATATTGATTGGTATACTTCATATTTAATTTTACTTTTTCTTTCTACAAATAAATCAACTTGATTTAAAATGTACTCAAGATATTAAAAAAAATATCCCAACTAAACATATTTTCAATTCAATTCAAATATAATAAAACAAAAACAAAAATAAAAAATAAAAAACATCTCGAAAAGTAGTACACAAATATTTTAAGAGAGGTTAATCATCATCATCAATTAAAATTAACAATATGAATTTTCATAATTAAATCATTATAAACAAGTGATGATTGAGGAGTCTACTCTTAATAAATTATTTTCAGCAACTATTATCAATGTAATATTGGTGTACCTCTTCTTCTTTCTTATAGTTTGACACTAATTTGTTCTATCATCTAATTGGCATGTTGTTTACCTTTGGTTATATATGTCAGAGTTATTTATATTTGATATATTATAAAAAAAATCATATTGATCCATACAAATCTCAGAATACATTTGAACAAAAATGTTCAAAAATTAAAATTAAAATTACTCATATTACAACTTATGATTAAATGAAGTGTATCGTTAAGAAAAACCAAATGACAAAATAAGGTTTGGAGCCTAGATCATGCATTTAAAACAATATAAAAAAATTTGAAGATTTATTTTTTGAAATCATGAATAGTCTATCAAAGGAATAGAATGCAAGAGCATGAGAGAGAGAGAGAGCAAGAGAGAGAGAGGGAGAGAGAGAGAGAGAGAAAGAGAGGCTGGGAGGGAAATACATGATGAAAAGTAATTTGAATTATTGATTAATATTTTCATATGAAATGATCCCCCTATTTATAGAGGATAGGGTACAATTTATGAGCTTACGTGTCCACCCTTGCTTTAAAGGGCTCACTACATGATATTTTAGGTATTTTGCATGTATATTTCTTGTGTTCGGCTACCATATGACTTGGTCGAGTGAACTCATTATGTTTTGATTTGACAAGACTTATTGGTTCGATCGTGCTGAATTATGTTTGTTGCTCATCCTTTGACGATCTTCAGGTTGGTAAAACTCGATTCAATCGACCTAACTCTACGGATCGGCCATGCTAGTCTACTTACCGACTATTGATCCCTGGATAAGAAATTCATATTGGTAGAGTAAGGCTAAGCTATCGTATAGAGGGTGAATCATCATAATCTGATAGGCAACATACTCGTCGACGATGTGATCATTTAGAGATGCTCAATGAAGTTTTGTGATGGTTAGTTCTCCGCCCCTTCTAAGGAATTTGAAGGGTGTCCATTAGATAGTCGGGATCACTATTAGTTTGTCCCAACTCTCCTACCATAACAAAGATAAGGAAAACATGGGAACTTGTTGTTGTCTGGAGTTCATTCAGTGTTTAGGAAGCTCGCTTGAAATTAGGGATGTTCTATTACCCAGAAAATGTTGATAATTTCACATCAAATTAAGAAGAAAATTTTGTAAAAGGATAAACTAGCTCGTAGATGTTCAGAGCTTACTACAAGAACAACCAAGAAGAAAGTCATGATTCATGATAGAGATTGTTGCTTTAGCAAGATTATTATTCGAAGGGATAAATTAATGCCCTAATAACTCAGTCCTTCAATTTAAAGAAATTTTACCTGGTCCTAAATAAATTTTAGAATAAAAGAGGTGTGATTAAAACATAAGTAATTGACTTGGATATTTCAAGCCTTTTAATTTTCTTAACAAAGTGAGTTCTAACTTTTGAATGAGTTATAATATCTCAGAATTTATATTAAGAAACATATGAGAATTATTAATTAGGGGATATTAGACTTTCAAAATTCTTAAAAGAAATATGTTCTACCAGATATATTAGTTCTTAGTGGAATTAAAAAAAAAAGAAAGAAGAAAAGAGAAGATAAAAGAAAAATATAAGAAAAGAGTTTATCCAAAAAAAGAAAAACAAGTTGTCAGTCTCCCTTAGAAGAAGCTTGAGGTGAACATAAAAAAAAATTGATGTTTAATTCAGTCCCAATTTATAATACTTAAAAATTCTCTTAAGAAATTCTTATGATATTTTATTCAAAAAAAAATTAAGTGATCTTAAGTTGTTTGCTTAGCTATTATTTGGCTTAGAAATATTTTTTTAGAAAATGAAAATATTTTAATAACAATTGATTAAGAGTTTTGCAATATGCATAAACCCAGAAAGAGGGAAATTAAAGAAAGAGCTATGTTATTAGAAATTAATAAAAATATATCCTTGAAATCATATTTTCACATTTGGAAGGATTCAACTCCAATTCAATTCAAGGACGTCTAAACACTTTTCTCAAGTCAATATGACCAATCTATACAAAATTGATATTAAATAAATAATAGCTACTTCAAAAAGAGTTGCAGAGTTGCAACCCCTTGAGTTGTGGAGTCCTTAGAAATAGCATGTCTTTATGTGAACTTGAAGAAACATAGTTCTGATAGTACCATTAAGAAAGATATTCTTACATATGCCCCTTGTCAATGAAAGATATCTCAAGAATATGTCATAATATTTTAGAGAATAAATTTTAGAAATAAAATATTGTTCTTATAAATGACAGTGCCCCACTTGTCTGGAACTGGGTCCTAATCCTAAATAAAAGCAACACTAGAAATAAAAATTCTTCATTTTTGGTTATTATTTGGGCAAGGTGTAATTTCCTCTAGGGTATCTTATACTCAGTGCAACTAAGAAACTCATAAAACATAAATTAAATCAAACTAAATCAAAATGAATCAATAAAAAACATCATATCAAATGAAATCAAAATAAATCAAATTAAAATGAAATAAAATAATTGAAATGCAATAAAAAATAAAAGAAATAAATAAAACATAAAAGTACAATAAACTAATTAAACAAACTTAGAGCAAGGTGTTATTTCCTGCTGTGTGTCCTATACCAATGAACTTTCAAAAAAAAATTATCATTACAAGAAATCTTAAATCAAAACAAACAAAAAACAAAATTCCAACTCTGAGCAAGGTGTAATTTCCCGCTGTGTGTCCTATACCAACGAACTTTCAAAAAAAATTATCATTACAAGAAATATTAAATCAAAACAAACAAAAAACAAAATTCCAACTCAAATTTTTGACTTGACAAGGTTAATTCTTCTCAATCTATCATTAGTGTTATCTCTTTTTCTGGATCGAGTTTTTCTTCCTCTGAATCTGTGCCCTCCATCCCGTGTAAAAGAGGTTTACTGGTTTTATTTTCATAAAAATACCCTCTTTTACACATTTAGTTTCATAAATTTCCACAAATCCATAATTCAAATATGAGGAAGGTGTAATGTCATCTAGGTTTTCCTTTCCTCAACTAGCTCTTGGGCTTGGTGCTTGTGAACTAGCACCTTCTCCTAATCTAGTTTTCCTTGTTCACTTTGAGGTAAAATGCTCATGAACCGAAATTTTCTTATTATGTTCATATCTCTCCTAATGATTCGATGCTTGTGAACTGGAATCCTTATCCTTTACTAGCTCTTAAGGTAGGTGTTCATGAACTAGCACCCTCTTCTAATCTAGTTTTTATTGTTCACTTTAAGGTCAAATTATCTTGAACTAGAATTCCCTTATTATGTTCATTTCATTTTCAAAGATTGAATGCTCATGAACTAACATCCTTATTATCTACTAGCTCTTAAATTGGGTGCTTGTGAACTAGCACCTCTTATAATCTAGTTTCCTTTGTTCACTTTAGGGTCAAATGCTCATGAACTAGCATTACCTTATAGTGTTCATATCTTTTTTAAGATTTTGATGCTCATGAACAAACATTATTATCGTAAACTAGCTCTTAGGATAGGTGCTCATGAACATGGCGCAATGCTCATGAACTAACGTAGTTTTTTTTGTTCACCTTAAGTTTGAATGTTTGTGAACTTGCATTCCTTTATTGTGTGCAAATCTTTCTGATAGGTAATCATGAATCCTTATCCTCATATAGTTGTACGGATAAGTGCTCGTAAATTGGCACGTTGTACTAATCTAGTTTCCATTGTTCATCATAACCTCAAATGCTTGTGAACTGGCATTCCCTTATTGTGTTTATATTTTTCCTAAGGATTGGATGCTCGTGAATTGGCATCCTTATCCTTAACTAGCTCTTAATATAGGTACTCATGACTTGACACCATGTTCTAATCTAATTTTCTTTATTCACCATAATGTTGAATGCTCATAAACTAGCATTCCCTTATTGTATCCATATCTTTCTCGAGGATGGGATGCCCATGAACTAGCATCCTTATATTCAACTAGCTCTTAGTGTTAGTGCTCATTGTCGGCACTATTTTGGTTGTGGAGTTATCCGTAAGAAGCGGTCCAAACCGTGCATCTATCTCGAAGGATAAACACAAGACTTGAGGATGAGGCTTGATCAAATAAACTGAAAAATATATGACGTCCGTTTGGTCTGCGAAACCATTTTATTTGCCGACAATTTCCCCTATTTAATATGAAGAATTAAATAGGATTTATATTAAGCTGGGTTTAGACGAGCTTCCTGTAAGAGCAAGCCCCTGTAGTTAATTACATCTTAAATGACCGAAGTCACCTAAGAAAACTCTCGATAAAATCTAAGAAATGTTATCTTCAACGATTTCAAAGGATATAATTTTTCAACAATATCGAAAAAAGTGGTGTGAAATGGGATTGGCTCAAATTTTGGAATCCAAAGGGGGAAGAACTATGGGATGGCATGGATCAGGAGGAGAACCTTGGTGACTTCCCAATCTATCTTATTGTTTGGCTTCAATTTTGAGGAGAAATTATTTGAGTGTTTCATCCTGTAAATTTTATTTGTTTAGGGCTTACATTTGTGTAAAACGATCACACAAATAGCCTAGAAGATGTGAGGGTTTAG